ACACATTCCTGGGCCACTGAACCTAAATGTAGAGACCCAAAGCTCAGGAGGAGATAGAGTTGCAGTTGTGGAGGATAGCAAGTGGAGGGGTGGACTCATGTCCTGAATTAACTATTAGGCATGAGATCTGCCTAGTAGTTAATCATTCCCATTTTACAGGTAAGAATATGGAGGCTTACCAAGGCCTGAGTCACTAGTGATTGAGTCTAAATATCATTACATCACACAGTGACCCCTGGGCAGAGGTGAAACTCTTAGTTGCTTTTTGTTTGTTTCCCAATGGATATGCAGTGTCAGCTGCCCTCTCTTTCAGAGCTGTTCCCACAGGAAAAGGTCACATGTCAATAGCCTATCTGGGGTTGGATATGGTTTGTGAGACTTGGTCCTTGGTGTAGTGATGTTAAGGTTTATTAGCACTTTAAAATTAAGGCATGGTGGGGGCTGAAGAGATGGCTCAGAGGTTAAGAGCACTGGCTGCTTTTCCAGAGGTCCTGAGTTCAATTCCCAGCAACCACAGGATGGCTCACAACCATCTATAATGGGATCTGGTGCCCTCTTCCGGCCTTCAGGCATACATGCAGGATGAACATTGTATAGATAATAAATTTTTTAAAAAATCTTCAAAAAAATGCAGGCATGGTGATTGAGAACGCTGGTTGCTTTTGCAGAGGACCCTGGTTTAATTCCCTGCACCTGGGTGGTGTCTCACAACTATCAGTAACTCCAATTCCAGGCGATCCGAAGCCCTCTCTGACTTCCAAGGACACCAGGTGGTAAGCATACATATATGCAGACAAAACGCTTATACTCATAGATACAACTTTTTAAATTGCAGAGCAGAAGGCTGAGTAAGGATACAGGTCAGTGGGTAGAGTTATTGATTCCCCAGCCCTGCATAAATCATAGATGGTGGCACATGCCTGTGATCCCAGCATTTAGGAGGTATAGTCCAAAAGATCAGAAATTCAATGTCACCTTCAGCTAATAGGAAGTTGGAGACCAACCTGGGCTACATGAGACCCTGAGATAGTTAGATCACAGAGAGTGCAGTCTTCTGAAGGGATTCACATTCTCCTCCAGGAGCCCATGAATTTGTACTCCTGAGAGAACTGTTGTAAAAAACAGTAAGCGCTGTTTCTGCTCACTGCAGAAATCCTATCTGGCTCCAAGATTCCTTTAACCCACACTGGATCCTGCTATGCTGATAGTTTCCAATGAGGGCCCTAAACAGACCGAACCGATACCAACATGATACTCATAAACTTTTGTTTCAAAGCGCATGGGCTTTGGGTATTTCATTATTATAACAACAGGTGCTTGGAAGTTCTCTGATATCAGTGATGAGGATCCTGCCTGGCCTACCTCCATCTCTTCAACAAACATGGCATATCTTTGTGAAATTTACATACAAGTGTGCAAGTTACCTGGGAGGCCTATAACAGCAGACAGGGCAGACCAGACTTCTGCCCTAGCAAAGATTCATAGCCCTGTGCTAGCTTGATGGCTCAGCAAAGCAAGGCACTTGCTACCAAGCCCAACAACTTGAGTTCAATCCCAGGGATCCACATGGTGGAAAGAAAGAACTGATTCCTGCAAGTTCTTCTGACCT